TCTGTGTGTGTTACAGTGAGGATCACGATCAATTACCAATAGCAAAATATCTTCTTTACATGAAGTAGAAAAATTAAATGATGCAAGCCACAGGTTCTACAGTTTAGCAGCTTTTCTGTGTCAAGCCCATTAATGGCTTTTCCTGGCTTAATAACCATTGTAGATTGTCAGAGGACATATCTGGTTGTAGGTCTTCCAGACCTACTCCTTCCAGCTAGCTTCAAATCTAAATTGGCTCTGAAACGTTGTCCGCCTGAGCTTGCTCCCCTTCCTCTTCGTCACAACCTGACCTGATTCAACTGACTCCTGGAGCAATGCAACTAGGTGTTGCTCTTCAAGGCAGCTCAAACAGAAATTGTTTCCATCTTTCATTATTTGAACTTTCCCGATGATATACACTCAGGTGAACTTCTATCGTCACGGTGCCCAGTCTGGTATACAAGGGGATCTTCTTCTGACTGTTCAACAACTCAAACCCATGTGATCTTTCTGGAATGTGTCATCGTTATGGTTGAGATCTTTTAAAAGAACTGCAAGGAAGAAAGGAATTATATACCTCTTGCAATTGTGATCAATTGTGCTTGAGAGCAACTACGTCGCCTTTTGAATAGATAATCTCATATTCTTCGGCTGCGTCTTGAACTGTAATTTGTCCTTCACTCCCTTCAACCTCTTTCAGCAGATCGATTTCTCCATGTGTCGACGCATTCCTTCTGAACATACTCAGAGCAAGTGGAAGTGTACCAGCTCTTTCCGGTCTTCCCCCTCGTTCGTTGCTGTCGTACACCCCGTCCGAATTCTTTCGCAAAGCTCTGCAATGCCTTCTTTTGTCGCTCCTTTCCCTCCGCCCTCGTTTCCTCGTCCATATCCTCCTTAAGGTTTACTCTTGCCGTGCGACTTTCGAAGCCATTCCGGTGCCTTTGGACCCAGCTTTCTCTGTGTGTAATGGCTTTGAGGACCGGTATAAAAGATAAACGAGGATTGGTAGAGCCTCTCTATTGATTCTAAAAGGCAGCTGGGCCGCCGCGATGCGTAGTCGTTCAGAGCGGGTGTTCTCACTCCACTAAAAAATTCAGGCTCCAAATCTAAGGTGGTGATACCTTTCGGGGCCAACCATTACATAAGCCGAGGCCGAATAGCCCAAAGGGCCGAAAAAATTCTTGTAGATCAATATTGTCACTTAAGTCTGTAAATTTTGTGCAAAACAAAATAGCCACTGCAGGAATGAGGCCTGAAAAAAATCTTGCATGAAAAAAAATAACCCATCCCCCGCTCAAAAATAAAATAGTGGGCCCCTTACTGGTAGCCCTTCATGCTGAGTGCTACAATATATTAAATTCCTGCAGACTCTGCTACTTGTACCTAGTAAGCAACTTTCCTTTCACCAATTCAACCGTCTATTTTATAAATAAAAACTAAAGAAAATAAACCATAAAGGCTTTGTTACTTTTATTTCACCGAGGTAAGTCTTTGGTGTTCCACTTATTTTCACTAATTCTACATTTTATCGAACTTTAATTTCAGATTATTTGTCATACCAGCATTTATCAGTTATACAGAAATAGAATGTGTCTTTACTTTCCGTGCGCAATACTAGCACTGGTAGGTAAACCGATCTCGGTTTCTCATCAGAGTTCATGCAATTATAGCAGATTTATTAAATTGTGAGAAAGCATTTATTTTGCAACAAAGCGCGCAAATCCATTGTACTTGTATTCTACTTTTGACGTCAATTCTAATTATTTAAGTACTTTTAAGGGTTAAGTTACTGGTCAAAAAATACGAACCTCGATTTATAGTCGCCTTGTGACTTGCTTGAGGCGATGAGGCAATCGCGACCTATACAGTAAATTCCGCTTTCAATGAATCGATTTGAATCGGTTTGTCTATTGTCCTGTATCAGGTTATGTTTGATCGGCCGAAAAACTCTATGCTTGGACCCTTGCCAGGAGTAAATCAGTCAAGGAAGTACTTACGTACCTTTCTCTTTCACAGGATTTCTTTTTGTCTTTTCTCTTCTTCCCCATTTCTCGCAAAAAAAGATATGTATAAATCGCTTTCTCTGCCTTCTGGCGTTGACAGCCCGTTGAGGAGTTGCGTTACAAAGCGAGAAAAGTGACTTGAGATTCATATTAATACAGTTCCCTAAACAATTAATAAATTAAGAATATGATACCATGTTTTCGTCAAACAACCAAGACTTCGTATGACAGGAACTGCCGCGAACCGGAAGCAAGAATAGGTAATGTACCTCGGCCAGGAAATTACATGGGCAGAAACCTTATCTACGATCCCTGATTCGGGCTTAAAAGCCTTGTGATCCCTGATCCCATTCTTCTGAGCCCTGAGCCTTTTCCTCTGAGCCCTGATCCCAGTCATATTTTGGGCTTTGAGCCCTGAGCCCATATACCATGTTACGACCCTGCAAACCGCCCCTTCCCCCTAAGTAGTTTTGACACTCATGCAAGATGGCAGCCAGTAAGACGCGCTATATCTCGACGATTTCACGGGAAAATAGGGGACAGTCAACAGCCTAGATCAATTGGGGATTGTCGTTAATAGGGTAAGCTATGTCTTATTCAGTCTACTGCATTAATTCAAACATGTGTTCCCTTTCTTTCTGTAGCAATTTCGATTCGTGACCTGTTAGTCAGTGTATACTCTAGGATTTTGAACCTGATTTTGAACAATGTATTCAATACAAAGTGACAATTTATGGAGCTTTCAGTTTGGGGCTAGAAAACTTACAAGGCAATTACATTTCAATAAATATAAACCTTCCTGAATTTCCATGAAGTTACTTAGTTGTTTGCTTCTTTCAGTCTCCGGAAATTTAGGGAAAAAAATCCTGTGAAAATTTATCCATAGATCGAAACATTTCTCGGAAGACTTGCTAAACTTGATGAACAGGACCTATGGGGCAGATTGCTGAAATAAAGAAATCCATAAGATATCTTTGAAAGCGCCTGTTTTAAATTTTCTACACGCAAGATCACAACCTCGTTCCCTGGGAACGCGGTTGCAAGATCAATGAGAGAATGAGCGTTGCCTGCTTGCAGACGTCTACTATTTCCTTTGTTGCACGAGGAAAAGGAAATAGGAGAAGTCTGCACGCAGGCAAGAATAAATAAATAAAAAATAAATAAATGAGCGTTGAATGAGTGGATTCACTTGTTGACAGGAAGGCCGATTAGCCTCCCACGCAGGCGTTTTTCGAGGAGCTCGTCTTTCATCCCTCCAGAGGAGCTCCCCTAAAAATGCCTGCGAGGGAGGCTAAAGGCTGATTGGTATAGAAAAAAAATATGGAGGGTACTTAGGGACCGGTCATTATGTATCGCCTGAAGGGGGGGGGGGGGGGGGGGCGGGGCGGCGGAGGATTTTAGAGGGGATCACTTGATTTTTAGGAGAACAAAAGGAGGGATTAGTCGTAACTGAGAACCCAAAAGGGGGGATCACTGAAAACTTTGGAAGGATTCAGAGGGGGGACCACTCAAATTTGCTTACATGGAAAATGAAGACGTGGGGGGCATCGCGAAAGTCATCAAAAGTTATAGGGGGGGATCACTTTAGTGAAGTAACATTCAAAGGAGGGATCAGCTAAATTTCACCTTGTTTAGCCCCAAATCCTCTGACCCCCAGCCCCCGGCGATAAATAATGATCGGTCGCTTATCATCTACATGGAAAAGCCGGAAATTCCGGTTGTTCTGGTCGGAAAATCGAGTGGTTCGCGGCATTCCGTTTGATTTAAGGTGAATCCGCTCTCTTTTTAACCTGTTCAGCTGATTTTAATATACTTTGAAGCGGCCGTTCTCCCACCTCGTCAAATCGTATAGTTTTATGTTTATGGACAAGATTTCCACAAGTCTCTTTTTCTTCAGATTTAGTGATGAGGGGAGTGCAAGCGCGCGAGGGCGTCTTGAGACGCGAGAAACGAGGGCGGCGCGCGTGGTCATTTGCGTGTCTCGCGCGTTTCGCTCGACGGTCTAACAAAAAAGACAGACTGCTCGTACTCTAGTGATTTGTGTAGATGGTAAACACTCCAGGTTTAGAAAATATCCCAAATCGTGTGGACGGGGCCAATCAAACGATATCAACGACTTTTTTTGGCGCCTGACATATATCAGCAGTAGGGTAATTGAAAGTGTTTGGCGGTCTGCTGAACGGGAGGTCTGGGGTTCAAGCCTCGCCGGTCGCGTTGTTTCCTTAGACAAGGAACTTTACTCCACTTTGTCTCTCTTCACCCAGGTGTATAAATGGGTACCGGCGACATACTGCTGAAGGATAACCATGTTATAGACTAGCATCCCGTCCAGGGGGGAGTAGCAATACTCCTAGATGTTTCATGCTAATGAAACCGGGATAAGCTCCCACCGTTTGGGCCTTTGGCTAGTGTGCGCCTTTTTTACCTTACCTTACCGTATACCTTTAGAGTGTTATGGATAGAAAGCCAATATTTTTACCTATTGAGGAATCCCGTAGGAGTACCTATATGTAAAAAAATGCCCATTATTCTGTGTCGTAGTAGGGTCTAAGTGGAACAAAAATTTGCAATCTCTACCTCTAAGCAAACCGACGAGAATCCCGGCCCGTCACTGTCATTTGGGAGACCTCAGGGGTCCTAAGTTCTGTTTACACGAGCAAGTTTTCCTCGACAACTGCTCTTAGTCGTCTGAATGGGAAAACTCAACAACTGTTTTCCGATGTTTTCTTTTGTCAGTGAAAGAAAAATTTGTCAAGTTTTTCCAGTTCACACAAGCAAGCTTTCAGTGACAATTGAAAAACGTAAGCGTGTTTGTGTAAATAGGATTAGCTATGTATTCCTTTGTCATGGATCTTGTTTCAATTCTAGGTCACCATTGCCTTTTGGGAATCCTTGTTCTACATGAGCCTTATACCCGCTACGATTTCCTGTGAACCCGTATTATCTCTCTTCTGTCATCATAGCTGAAAATAAAAACGATAAAAGTCGGTTTTTCCTATCATTGGCAAAAACCTTTTGATGAATATACATATGGAAGCCGGTGGAAAAACTCCGCTTCACCAGGCGGCTATTGTAGGATCCGTGGAAGAAGTAAAGAAACTTATCTCCTGTGGAGCAAGGCCAGACATTCAGACAAGGCGTGGCCGCACAGCACTTCATTACGCTGCCGAAAATGGGCACAGAGAGATAGTTGGGATCCTGTTGGGATTGGGGGCTCAAGTCGACTTACCAAACAAGTGGGGAAGAACAGCGTTACATTATGCTGCCAGTAAACACCGATTAGATTGTATCCAGGCTCTTATTGATAACGGAGCTGATCCAAATAAACAGGATGTAGACAAACAGACTCCATTATACCATGCGGTGGCGGCGTCGGCAAAGTGGATGAATGACGAGGTAGGAGTTTGTGACACTGTATTGCGTGACAGTGACGTCTGTTACACTGGAATGCGTGACTATGCAGGTCACAGCATTCACGGGAGTGATACAAGAGTATTAGCTACTGAAATGCTTGACACCGTTGTGCGTTACACTATATTGATTTTAATATCAGCTGGTGCTGATGCTGATATCCCTGATAAAAGTGGTGTTACTCCTCTCCATCTGGCTGCTGAACTTGGCAACAGTCAAATCTGTATTCATTTGCTTGAAGAGGGTAAGGCTCAGGTTAACGCATGTGACCAATACGGAGCAACTCCCCTCCAGTACGCTGCTTATCAGGGTCATAAAAATATAGCAAAAATTCTTTTCTCCCACAGCGGTTTTTCAGGCGATTGTGTCGCAAAACAAAACAGAATGTCATTTGTCAAGCACGACATTGCATCATCTGAAAGAGAACTGCAACCACTAGCACACGTCCATAGAGATATAAGCGGCATAACTTCAAGCAATGGTGAACACTTTGACTCTGAAAAAGAAGAATTTGCAAAATTAGAGCATCTTGAGAATGTGGAGCCTGCTGAAAGCGAAGGGAGTAAAGAACTGCTTTTGAGTGAAGAGGCATCTCTCAGTTTGATGCTTCTTCAATTAAATGGAACAGAAGGTGTAGGGTGCGTAAAGCGAATCGCAGAAGTCGAAAGAATCGAACAAGACATCGGCCGTTATATCGAAGTTGCTCTGCAAGGCATGATACAAGCAGAACCGAGGTTTAGTTACTCCCTGCTAAAATCTGGAAGCACTTCGGAAAACACCAAAGTTGGTGAGCCTGATGAGATCGACTACATGTGCTGTTTAACTGAGTTGTCCAAAGTATGTTATCCGCACCAAACTAGCTGTGATCCACATGGATACCTGAGAATTAAGGTTCAAAGCCAAGGTTTGAATCAGTGGAACGACTGCGTGGATAGAGACGGTTTTTTAATTGCCGAGAAGGTCCACCAACATTTTCATTCCATGTTTGATCTACACTCCGAGAATTCTGATCTCACCGCGATGAGCAATTGTCTTCACAAAATGCGCGACTATAGGGAAAGGCCGGAACTTGGTGTGACTGTGGACATGTCTAAGACCAAACCCGGATCAAAGTTGTACTTCCTGTGGCGTGGATGCCAATTTAAGCGATTGATAGTCGAGGTGGATCTCATTCCTGCTGTAGAAATACTCGGATGGCCGCAGACTGCGATTGTTTCCCCTCAAGAGGGCTGTTCTCTTTATCACGTCATTCCAAAAGTTTCTCCGTCTCTACAAAATAACCCATCCGCTGGATTATACTGGCGCATATCCACATCCCTGGCCGAAAAAAGCTTATTCAAAACAATGAGCGCTCCAGCTCTTGCTTGTTACACAATATGCAAACTGCTTATGCACAGTTCCAATCCAGTTCAGTTATTTTCCCATTCTATGGATTTTGCGAGCCAAGACCTTCAACTCCTGCTGGTTATTCTTCACCGTTTAAAGTCGTACGATGCACTCATCAATTCGTACCTTTTGAAGATGATTTTCTTTCGAGAGAAAGCAAAACTTAGGCAAGGAAGTGACTGGGAATGGAGCACTGTCGGGATTCGTGTATTAGGGTTGCTTAACAAACTGTTGGTGGAATTGAAACAGGGTTATGTTCCGTCATATTTTCTTCAGGATTATGACGTTTTAACGAAAGATGACCCTTCGGATATAAAACAATAGGACTTGATAAACCAATGCTAATGTGACAGACTCACTCAGATGTGCCACATTCCTCTTTCTCGTTTACGTCAAAAAAAAAGGCGCCTAGTGGACGATGATTAGAGGAACAATAGTTACTTTTAAGCGAATACGCTCAGTGACTTAATTAACAACTGCCAAGTTCAGTTATTTCTGTTACACTGCCCTTTAACGTACTGTGCACATGCTCAGTAATCCATAGAAACGTAAATGCAAGTGATACACTCGGACACCAGCCCGCGGCCTGGCCAGTAACTTACGCATGCGCACTGTCATACCATGGACTGTTGTTTCGCCCTCATGTGGGCTCATCAGCATGGCATGCAGAGCTGGTTGTCTCAGCATTCTCGCACCCAGGGCCGCGACCCTTTTAGCCAGCACCACGGTTCGAGATCTCTGGCTGGTTATGGAACAGTATGTCTGCGATTCGCTGACTTCCGGGATTTCTACGCAGCCTCAGAAATTGGATACAGTACCCGTTACCAACAGTTACAAAACATGGCAGCTACTTTTACGTGTTATCCGGGAACAAGAGAGGATAAAGGTGCTTTACCCTATCTTGCCTGGAACCCTGTGGAGCCCTCGATATCGCAGTTCTGGGAACCAGAATGCTGCCATTGTCGGCACTGACCCAATCTCTTACCTAGAGTCTTCTGGCTTTTTGTTCAGCGAACCTGCCGCCGGTGCGACCGCCGCCCCACGGCGCTGACCAAAAATTCGGAAGACTCACGAACATGAGAAAGCCACTACCCAAGCTATATGCTTGTGGGCATGCGTAAAGCACTGGCGGGTGTCTGAGTCACTCATACCATACCTGCATTTAGTGTTACCTTTGTCCAGTAAAACGGGCAACGTGGACTGACCAAAATGTTTGCAGCTTCTGGCATATTATGGGAACGAGTTTGGAGCCAAGGCAGCGTTTCAGTGTGGACCGCGAAAATTTATAGAGGAGTTTTTGGGTTGGCCCGAGGCAACGATATTTATCACTGATCATTGATCTTTATTTTATATCTATTAGCCTTTGAAAATAAACGCCTTTGAGACCCTTTGTTTAGAAAGGTTAGGACCAGGTGGTTGGTTTTTCTCTGGTTTTGTCTCCCAGTGAACTAACTAAAAATGCAACAGCGTAACTGGGAGAGAGAAGCACCATGTTTTAAAAAAGGCACTTCGATATTGCGAGACTGATCAAACCGGGATTAATCATAAATGGAGCTAATTGGCGAAAGAAAACAACAAGTGACACCCTCAAACAACAGCCCCACAGACCCCACGGTTTATCATCCCAGCTCCCCCTCCCCTCCACGTGTAGTGGGACAGTTCATGCATTTATATATGAAGTAGATATTTCTATAAAAACCGGTCTGAGCTGCTCCGAGAATCACTAGTGCGTAGCTTCTGTACTAGAATAGATTAGTCCGTCTCGTGGTGATTTTAAAAAGTGTTGTGTTCTCAGTTCTACTCGTATCAAACGGTATTGCCCCAGTGACTTACGCATGCGCACATCCATATCACCAGAGAAAGTTTAGGCTTCATTTTAATGGCAGCATAGCCGTCAGATAACTATAGCTGGGGTAGCTTTGGGTGCCTACTAAGATATCATGGGCTTGGCTTGGCATCATCTACGTCAGTTGAAAATTTGATGAAGAGACTATCACCTGATGTGGCACACCTTAGTAACTTAAATTTTGTTCTGTTTAAGCTCGTGTTATGTTTTTATATCACCTCTATTTTTTAAACCTTGCTTATTTTAGAAATCTTTGCTCTATTTTCTAAAAATACTATAAACGTGGTCAAAAAATAGCTTGCTCTTCAGTTGACCGTCACGCAGTCAAAAGGAACCTAGTTTCGAAGGATTTATGCGTATAACAACAACTCCAGGTTACGTAAAAAAAATATTAAAGAAGCTATCATCCTTAAGCATGGAAAAATCGGTGATCTTTATGAACAAGAGACTAGAACGTCTCTTGTAATGAAACAGTACAATTTCTTTAGGACAAGTGTCTACGACACTTTTCTATTTGTGTTACTTTCGGCAAAAACCAGAGAGAATTTTAATTTGTGCCAACTCTCTAATTATAAGCTTCCAATCAGCACAAAATTATTAATTAATTCCTCTAAAGGTATAATTCCCGTTTAGTTCTCCCTAAGAAATTCTAGTGAGAACAGATGGGCATTACTTTTCCCACGAGAACGACCTGTTTTCATAGAGAACGAAAGCCCACTAGATGAATGAAATAAAAGAGTTCTCGAGATGTGTTAAAGCAGATCCGCCAGCTTGGCGTTTTTAAGCCTTATACTTTCAAGAGGGTCAAATGCCTAAATTTGTGGAAAGTCTACATTGTAATTTATGAAATGCTATCGGGGAAAAGTGAATAGTGCCAAAGCCATCTAATTTGAATAGCCATAAAATTTCATATTACACCATAACGTAACTAAACTAATTTAAACAAATGTTAACCAACTCCATTAAGGTTTTACGCCCCTCGTGCACTAGGAGGCTATTTGTGGTTTGGGTTTCTAATTTTAGGGCTACGACATGATGGGTTGCACATTTTTTGGAACGGAGCTGAAATAAAAAATAATCGCTCAGTATTCTCGGCAGTCATCATTAATCATGATTTTAACTCTTTAGAAAAAGAAAAGAAAGATATCAAATGTTTCTAACAAGGGTCGAGGAAGACAGTCATCAGTTTAGTCCGGCTTCATTTTTCACGCAGGAGTTTAACTTGAGAAAAAGGGCCCAATGTTTTAAAATTGCAATTTTTTGTTTCAATCCTGGCCATTGAAAGCCAAAGACAAGCACTTATAGTAAAGGCACAGTAGTAGAGTAATTTTCAATAAAACTGAACCATGATTTCAATTTTTTTTTAAAATTTCAATGTGTTTTTAGGGTTTTTAAATTAATACCAAAACGTTGGACCAAAACCGGTTGTGAAATCATAATAGTTGCTTTCTTGTCCACGATATTTAGAGGCTAGAAACACAATGAGAGGCGACATAATAAGAACGGATAAGGACGTAGAGGAAAAGAAATAAACCAGCTAAAAAAAACAATAAAAAGATAGGTAAAAAATATTTGATATTTTCTGGTAAAAAGAACGGTTTTTCAGTTCAACCTTCTTTAGCGTGCTTTCGTTATTAAGTTATGGTTTCAAACAAAGGCAATGATGGTTTTTTCAGTATTTTTGATTCCATTTAAATCATTATTATTTATTATTATTATTATTATTATTGCTATTATTATTAATCACGTTACTTAATCTTCCCGCTGAGTCTTGTTTCTATTATAAATTTGCCTTTTTAAATATCAGTAAGATCAGTAAAAACTTTAATTCTTTTTTGGGTGAAACTTCCCGAAATATGAACTTATTTCAGCAGTAAAATGAGACATTTAAACTTCAGAGGCTGTTTAGCCTGTTTCAAGGCGGGGCGTTTTTTAGACTCGTGAGACGATCAACGTTATATTGTGTTTCCTGCACGTCTGAAGCGAATATGACGGCGAGGAAGTCACTCCCTAATCACTTCCTGCTTTCAGGAACATGAATGAATTATGTCAACAAAACAGTAGACAAAAGCGAACCGAGTTTTCCCGATAACTCGGACGGAAAAGATGAGTTTCTTTACGGGGTATTTAATGAAGAAACGGAAAGTCCTATTTGGGACAAATATGATGGATGGAGCTCAACCAATGTTTTTTTTAGCAATCTTAACAATTTCTCTCTCTTTAAACTTGCACCGGCGTTTTGAGTCAATTACGGTGATACGAAAAGTAGTAATTTTGCAGCCTTTGCAGGGATGAAATCCTACTAGTATTCATTATAACCAGAAATAGATCGATGATACAAGAATAGATTGTAACTGTCACTACTTTATAAAACTAATGACCGTCTTAAAGAAGCCCGTGAGCACCATTCCTGGTTGTCAGAAATTTTAAAATTCAAACCATCAATTGTTACGGGAAACTGAACACTACAAAGACTTTCCATTCCACTGCTTTTATACCTTCCAGTGTTTTCGTATCCGTGGGTGTAGAATCGGTTGGTATATGTATAATCCGATACAGCACTGACTATATTGAAGGTTACGCGATAGTAATTGTTCTGAATTGTCCGTGTTGGCACTGACGCACATCAGGATAAAATCGGCCAAAAGTAGGGGAATCACCCTTTTAGCACCCTGCCGACTCAGTTTGCGTCACTGCGTTGAATTTTTACGCGGAATATTATTACTTTTGCCCATGAAAGGTGCACCACAAGTTCAACGTTTTGGACAGGTTTTGATGATCTTATTCAAAGGCTAGTTATCAGTTATAATTTTATTTCGCTGGTTTATATGATTAGCTTATTATTAATTTGTGCACGTCTGTGTTTAAATGACTTTAATTCCGTGGCCATAAACTCAGGTTATTTAAAACTCTTTTCACGTCAACTAGTTGAAACTACGACCACTATTTGTTCCGTTGAACTTTCAAAATCAGAACGTCTGATTTGTATGACGGCGGAAATTATAGCTCAGTGAATCCTTCGATTTGCATCGGTCTTTTCAGGTATAAACTTGACAAACTTGATTAAACCAATAATATGATACTTGGGATCAAACTGTAATTTTCTGCGAAAAAAAAAAAAGAGTTTGAGGACTAGAAGTGCAGCCATATGGCACAAGATACGTCCGGTTTGTCTTGATGATCACACGGTGCCTGCGCAGTTCGCCGTGTTTCGATGTGTTGGTTCGCAGATACTATGTTAGTTCGTCAGCGACAACAAGCATTCAACTTTTAAAACTCTCCATTTCTCTCTTCTTGACTCATTTCAAAGTTTTCACCAGAGCACAACCTTACCAGGAATACTCTAGTGAGAATGAAATTGCAAAATTGGTGAGGTGCGACCGAACGAGGCAAACGCGCGCGAGAGAAAGAGGTACCTAATATTTTTTTTATTTTTTTTAAATAATAGTAGTAATAATAATACATGCTTTTTTATATTGTTAACAGTCATGGTTACTTTCACTCACCACCTTTATATCTGTGTTCTGTTTAAAATATTTGTTGCTATCGTTATCTGCGAGGCTTTGTGTGACAGAAAACAAAACATTTACAAAAAATCGCGGTTTCAAATATTGCTTTAGTTTCAAAAATAATCTCACTAAGTATGTCAGGAAATTGTCTCTATACTTTCCAGAAGGATGATCTTCTCCACAAAATTCGGATTTATGATTTAAAAACAACATTAACGCGCTGTAAAGTAGATAATTTATTTGCGTGACTTTCAGTTTTCCAATAACAGACCTTGGGTGTTGAATTTCAAGACCGGTCGACCTCCAAAAATCGTCTGATCTTTGACGTAGTGTGCCTGATTACGTTTCTGTGTCACTTCCACTTCAATGAATAAGCAAGCTGCACTGGGGTGGATTCCATTGAATGAAACGACCAAGCTTCGATCGAAAAGCTTTGCTGAGAGGTTTTAGACAACTATGCATGTCCAAAAAGGTAAGACAAGTTTTACACATAACCTGCTTGCCTGCGACGGTCATTCGAGATCGACAATTTGCGTGCGATCGCCGTTTTAAAATATATTTCAGTATTTCTTTATACTTCGAAAAAATTCAAAGTAATTGAACTGACAGAATTGCCAGTGACCATGGCCATTCTGTGTAAAATAGATGAATAGTTTAATCCCCCTTGAGTTATGCAAATGAAATAATAGCATTATAATACTACGTCCTACCTATTCAGACTGGGAAGTCCCTCGGAAGTCACATGAATAAGAAAAGACTTTGTAATCGAAGCCAAGCGAGGCGTCTGCTTGAAATAATAAACTGACATGACCTAATATAGGTCTACGGGCTTGATATAAAGAGAACAGCCTTTCTTGTACGAAGCAAAACTTACAACATAGTGTTAGCGTTGTTCTTTGGTTGTTAGAAATATAATAACAAGACAAGAGCTTCGTCTCGGCAAGACAGGAAAACGAAACGAAACTAACTGAGCACTTGTGCTGACATTTAAAGAGATTGAGAGGAAGTGATGACTTTCCTAGAGCATTTGCTGACTACCACAAATTTCCACATAGGAAATGGTAAGAAAATCTAGTCAAAGTTTTTTGTCTTTGGAATTCGATTTTTTCCATCGCTTTATCAATTTATCGAACTGATAACGATAGTTAATCATTTCTATTTCTTGAGTCTTCAAAAGTCACACGTGGAGTAATCTGTCACGCAGACTGTCACGCAGTGAACAAAATTGACCAATCAGAACACAGGAGACAGTGCTTTCCTGACAATCCAATTTTATCTCTGACATCACCTCAACATCCGGGTTCCTTATGTCATGCCTTGCCCCTACCCTAGGGTTCAGCGGAGAGTTTTCTACAAGGAAACTCACGACAGCAGAAATACTAGAAGACTGAATGTTATTCGAGTTTCATGCAAAAATCACTGCCTCTGTAACATGTCCTGGAACACTCCGAGTTCTGGAGGTTTCCAAGCAATGGCGCCTTCCGAGGCCCAACCGTATATGAGCCACGAACAGCTTTTGAGTAACAGAGACGGTAAGCTAAGCTTGCATCGTCTTGAAGATTTTTTTGGTTCAAGATGACCTTTCTTCTTTTCTTCGGGCCAGCGAGATGTTAATGGCTTATCTGTAGAGTTAAATCTCCGAGTTATTGTTTCGTGAAGTAGTGAGCGAGTGAATTTTTCTTGTATTGTAGCTCTCGAGAGAAAGCTTTCGCAAAGAAGACCTCGACAAGAACTTGTGAGCATAGGAATAATGCCAGGTTTGTATCTGGGGTCTTGCCATTAAGTGATCCATCCTCGATCCTTCTTGTAACATCTTTTTTTATTTTGTATTTTTAGCGGTTAGTGCTGCACCGGCAATACTCTCCCAGAGGACAAAACTCGAAAGAGCCAAGGCAAGTTTCGGACTCGTGTTGTGTTTGTTGGTCCTTGAATTGGGGTCCCTTCAATATAGTTGGGAGAGCGAATAAATAAATGAAAAGATAGGCAGAAAACATTTATAACATGCCATTTGTTTTTATTAATTTGTCTTTCAGACTGGTGATATTCTACAAAAGAAAATACGGGCAAGACCAAACCGCGCTCAGCTGATTCAAAAGCATATTCTATATGGTATGTACTTTTAATATTATTATTGTCCTGTCAAGCTCGATCACCTTTCAGGAGTGGAGTTATGTTCGCGTGATTTGACAGTGTGAATTGAAACTAAGGATTCACACAGAGTATTGTATGGCAAATGTTTTCGACTCTTTCAGCAAATTTAAAGTTTCACAAGCTGAATATCTTGTCATATTGTCAGTTTTAAACGGTCGGCTTGTTCAGAACAACAGTTTGTTTGTGTCGAGAATTCCTTCAGTTCATTTATATTTTTTTCACAATAAGTGTGTCCACTCACTAAAAAGAACACAGCTTGATAACTTCCATGTGTTGCTGTATCTAAAGAACTTTGTTCTGTGAGCTAGATTTAATTTCTCGGGTAACGGTTCATGAAAAGTGTTTCGATCGGGTGCTATGTGCCTTATGCAACTTTCGCTTTCTGTTTTTTCACCTCACGATACCCATCAGTACTAGTGTTTTAGCTGTCATAATTCTTTCTGTTACATCTGCTCACTCTAGTTTGCTGCATCAAAGAAAACACGGATAGGATTTGGTGTCTTTTTCGGCTTCACTGTTTCTTTGACGTGCTTGAAAGCAAGAGTAAGAAATTGACACCTTTACTGTCGATATCATTCAGCGCGTTGGAATTTTTATTTTTTTGTGGTAAATTTGTCTCTAGATAAAACCAAAGTTTTTTGAAGCAGAAAGAGATAATATAAACTCACCCTTTTTCATTGACCTTTGAAGAGTATTTGCGCAACTTTTACTTCCACGAATTCCAAATTAATAGAGTTAATCCGAGAAAGTATCTTTTATTGATCTTACCACATTCTAAGTACGTGCGAATCTTTTGTTCTTCTCTGACTTTCTCTCTGTTGTCGTTTTTCCAAGTATGAGCTCTGTTAAACCTATGGATTATCTTGTTTGAGAGACAGAATTTGTTAAAGATATCTAAAAAACCAATCCATTTATATATAAAACAAAGGCAAAAGATTTATTATGACTGTTTTTTGGTCATATTTCAATTTTTGATTATGTCAGTTATGCCTTTTGACTCTTAGTCTTTATCAAAAGGCATAATTATACAACCCACCTTTTAATTTCACAATTATTGTTCCATTCATTCAGTTGCAGTTTATCTACATGTGACTCTTTATTAAATTACAACCTCTTAATGATATTATTGTTGACCAATGCAACTGTGATGAAAAAATGAACTGTAAGAAGAAACTAGTTTCAGCAAAGCTGGATGTAATTGGGTGATCTGTTTGGATTGGTTTGTGATGTTGGCCGTCACATTTTAAATGGTTTAAACTTCAACGAAAACTGAAGAGAAACCTCAAAAGCGACCCATCCTACCATCTTTTGAAGAAGGCACTGAAAAAAGTGCCAATGATAGCTTGAGAGACATCTTTATTCAATGGATATACAGACACACACTAGCTACACAGAGAAAGAGATTTGCAATCACATTTTGGAAGGGAAAAAACTCATCAAAAGGTTGAAACTTCAACAAAAAGTGAAGAAAAACCCCAAAAGATACTCATCATAGCATCTTTTGAAGGAGACGATGAAAAAGTGTAGTACGCTAGCTTCAAACACCTCTTTATTTAATGGCTGCCTTCGCTTAATATGCTTTATCGTTACTGCGTTAATAATTGATAGTGTTTATTTTGACGACATAAAACCGGGGGGGGGGAGTACTCTCTTGCATTAACCGTATAGATATTTCTCTGAAATCGTGTCAAGATTAGGAGAGCCAGATGACGCACCCCCACTACGACTTCCCCCAAATACCCCCCTCCCAGCGAAGAAAATGAATGTGTTTTATAAACTGGGCTGGCCACAGGTAGCCCAGTTAACAAGCCTTGTGTTTGTGATGCAGTGAAACCTGTATTAAGCAGATACCGTATTAAGCGGACACCCTCTATTAAGCGGACAGTAGCCGAAGTCCCCAAATTTATTTCCCTTATTTGCTTTAAATGAAATCTTTATAAAGCAGACACCTCTATTAAGCGGAGGTGGACACCTAAAGAGTACCTGAAATGGTCATTTCTATTGTTGCCGACCTGTATTAAAGGGACACTTAAAATTAAATTCCACCACCCAACACACCAGACACTGGAAATGATTGCCTTGAATTGCCACCCACAAATTTTTCGATTTTTACATTTAAAAACATGACTTGACGAACTTATTTGATTAGTTTCACAGTAAAGGATTGTTTTCTATTTCGTTTTGTTTGTATAGGGCTTGTTTCACTCATCTGATTTCTTCAAATTTGAGTTGCAATCCATGTTTATTGTACTATGATCAACTGGTTCACTTTGATGAAGAAATTAATGCAAACTTCTGTCATCATAGTCTCTGGGAGTATTATAAATGCTTCCACTGTTCATTTGAATGGCATTTGACACCTCATATGACGTTATATATCGAAACCTGTATTAGGCGGACACCCTGTATTAAGCGGACACTACAGCATTCCCCGAGGGTGTCCGCTTAAGACAGGTTTCACTGTACTTAGAAGCTAGTTGGTACATTTGAGACCTTTTCATGCATTCATCAGGTGTTCATGTAGCAACAACAATTTGCCATCTGTCCTCTTTGAATTTGTTACTTTTAATATGGTATTCCTCCTCCCATTTCTGCTGAATCCAAGTGAGAGGTATGCTCTTTCCTGATATAAGCTCAGTGTAGGGAGAGATTTTGATATGGGGATATCATAAGTGTGACAGAGTCAGAGTCAGAAGAATCAGAACGTTTCCATTTCTTCCAACTTCACTTACAACTCCGCCGTTTATGTTCTGCTTATGATCTAGTGACAACCAGATTGTCAGAGTCGGAAGCAGAAGCAGAAAGATAAACCAATCGCAATGCACATTCCCACGCTTTGTGATTGGTTTAGTTCTTCTTTTTTTGCTTCTGACTCTGACAATCTGGTTTTCACTAGATCATAAGCGGAACGTAGGTGACGGAGTCGTAAGCAGAATCAGAACGCTGTTTTCACTAGATCATAAGCTCTAGACTTCTGATTACGACTCCGACTCCGTCGCTAATGAAAACCAGCCTTTAGAATATACTTGTACCACCAGTACATAAAAATATGCCATTTTTCTTCAGAAACACCTGGTGCTGTGGATCCGTCTTTGGTTGACAAACAGATGAGATTGAAAAGGAAAAAGTTGGAAGATAACCTCAATGACAAGTTATCATTTAGACCTGGACCACTAGAACTTGTGAAACAGAATATTTTAGAAGCAGGCACTGAAATGAGCCATGCCGTGCAAGAAGGAACAGTGCCTTTTACTGAAACCACTTCAAATTATAGAGAACCTATTTCACCGGAAAGTGTTGACTCACCTGAACCATCTCCTGACCCAAGCAACATTGCATCACCACCAAGCGTTTCATCATCACATAGTTTTGCATCGTCTCCAGGATCAACATGTATAACGTCCACAGTGCAGGCTCTTGCTTCACTGCAAGCGCAAACCCGCAAGCATTCTCTGGAACAACAAGAACAGCAGCAGCAGCAACATCAGATGTTTTTACAACAGCAAAATGGCCAGCAGCAAGTGTTGCCTTCACAGCTTCCAGTGTCTTCCACTGGAACAAAAAAGGAAGCCAGGTCTCGCAAGAAAACTGCCAAACCAAAAGTTAAGAAGTACAAATATCATGAGTATAGGCCCCCCAATGGTGAGGTGCAGAAATCTGAATTACCATCAGACTCACCATATGGTTTACTTTTACAACAACAACAGCTTTACCTTCAGCTTCAGGTGTTGTTTCAAAATTATCCGCATCATTGCATGTTGCCTTCTATTCCGGAGAATGCAAAAGTTAGCTCAAATGGTGGTAAGAACAATAATTCAAATGCAGAGAAACCTGTAAAAATTGAGGAGATGAGAGTTGTTGATATGAGAAGGGCTCTAAAGGAACGTGGACTTCCAGTGTTTGGCTCAAAAACTGATTTAATTAAGCGGCTTCAAGAGATTGGGGCCTTTCCACCTCCTGAGCCAAACGCAAGCATCACAATATCACCTCCTTTAGTGTCTACACAGGCGCAAGTAACAACATCAGCCCCAAGTTCTTCCAGTGCTCAAGCTCTTCCAACAAATGTAGTCCATCCATCCTTGCATAGATCAAATTCTCTACCATTACAGAGTCCAAATTTGAATACCGTGCAGCAGCTGCAGATGCAGATCTTAGCAAATAACCAGAGTTTACAACAACTGAAAGTCCCGCCTGAGGTCCAGCAGCAACTGCAGCAGCTCCAGTATCTGAACTTGCAGCTACAGCTGCAGCACTTGAACATCCAGCAGCAACAGAATATCCAGCCAAAGCCGATGGATACTCCAGTTACTTGTCAGACTGCAAGTGTGAAAACAGAGACTCTTACCAACAACACCTGTACATTTCAGGGTAGTCCTGTCAATCAGAGCCAAACTTCAGAGCAGAAGCCAGTGCCATTTGCTGTAAAGCAAGAATGCCAGACTGTGCAGATGTCACCCAGAAATCCTCATCAGCAACAGCTGGCTAAAACGCAAACACAAGTTAAGCAACAACAGGTTGACCAAGTTAATCAGGCTTTGGTACATTTGCACGAACAAGCTCAGTCACTGGATAGTATAGACTCAAACGCAAGCAGTGTTGAGAGCCAGGTTCTGTCGTGGGACCAGCAGCATCCACTGTTTGATGGAGAGAGTGAATCATATCCATCACCTGGTTCTCAGCTTTCAGACATGTCAAATTTATCCCCCTTGCCAGCAGATAACCTTTCTCATAGCATGGATTCATTACACAGCAGCAGTGTTTTCCATGGAAATGCAAAGCCTGACAATCAGCTCATTCCAGGATCCTATCCTGAGAGGTCTTCTGATGAATACCTTTCAATGGTTCCACAAAGAAAACCCAGGTCCTTGTCTGAGCCTCAATTTCCTGTTTCCACTCACAGGCGGACCTCATCATTTCCATCAATCCCTTTTGCTACCCCACCACCAAGTTATGAAGCTGCTGTGGCGGCCCAGTCACAAAAGCAGTTTCAGAATGTCGGTTTTGGAAGCCAGATGGTTGGTGGCTTTCCCATCATGAACAGTGTGAGTCCAAAGCAGGATGACATGGACTTGCATCTTGATTCTGTTATTCAGGACAAGGAATTAAGTCAAGAACTACAGAAGGTATCTTAGATTGAGAGCTGTTCAGTGAGCCTCATTTAGTCGTACACAAAAAGTGCTTTGACTTTTATGAATAGACTGTTCCCTCATTTCTATGAGTAAAGGCAGAAACTTGAGGCTTGGGGGGTGACAAATTTCATTGATTTGACTCCCAGTAACTATGTTTGATTGAAGTTAAAGCAATGTGTTGCTATTGAGAAAGAGTACAAACAGAATGTCATTTAGCACGGAACAACTCCGAGAAGCAATAAGGGACAATATTGTTATCAACACTTTAAGCAGGGATGGTACTCAGATTATACTGCTATTACTAGGTGGGGAAGTGAACAGCTAGGAAGTTCTTTTGGTTGTGTTTTCCGTTAGCTTCCTATGAAAGTAGCTGGGGGAAATCAGAGGCAAACCTGCTTCAAGAATATGGGTTACTTACCACTTACATTGTAAAACCGGAAATTCTGGTTGGAAAATCAAATGGTTCATGACATTCTGTTTTTGAAGGTTCAGAAAATGTGGGCTGTGATTTGAGACGATGCAATTTTCTTAGTCTGTTTTGTCTGATATACTTTGTAGTGGTTTGTCCTCCCACCATATAAAATTTTATAGTTTTATGTTTATGCACAAGATTTCCACTCAGGTGGTTTGTGTAAAATGTTAAGCACCTCAGAACTCACAGAACTTTACACTTTTGTAGTTTTAAGTTGATTTGTTTCTTGCAGGCTATGATGAAGAATTTTGCTTCACTTAATCATGATGACATACTGGAAATACTTGGAGGTAAGTATCAATGAACTGGTGTCATTTCCCTGGTTATAGAACCTATTTCATTCTTTTAGATAATGTAGCAAGCCTCTATTTGATATTTTTAACCCACTGATATTGATGTGTGGTAATATAGTATCTTGGGAGACCTCTGGCCCTTTCCGGCAAGATTCTTAACTGCCTTTTAGATAGTTGTGAATGAAAATGCTCCGAACTATTCACTATTTTCACATAGACTATAATGCTTCTTGTTTAGTAACCCCTCCAAAATTTTGCAAACATTGTCTTCAATTTCCCTTGAGACGACTGTAAATACCTCAGAGAAATAGAGAGGAGAAATGTGATGTCAGGTTACCATGGTAGCAAAATTTCTGGATCACATCAATATGGTGTTTAAGCAACATCGACGGTGACGGCAAGAAGAACATCAAGAGAGCAATAGGTTTATATTAGCAAAACAAAAACTTTGAACATGCATCACGGTTGTTTGTACACTTCCTAGTTGTCATTGCATGATTCCTAATGTCACGCGCCCTCTTTTTGGAGTAGGTGAACACAAGGCAAAAAAATTTTTCTTTCAGACTCAACCCCAGAAAATTTTGCGAACATTTCCACAAATTAAATGAAATTAAATAAGACAGATAAAGTTTGAAACAGTGCAAATTCCCTTTTTAAGTGATGTTTGCGGTTTGTTGTCATTGAAAAATTTGCTACCATGGCAACATGACATAACCATTGCTTTCAATAGAGAGGAGAAGTCGTTATGTAGTATTTTTTTTGGGGGGGGGGGGGGGGTAAACAAGGTGCATTATGGTCTCTGTGAAAATGGTTGGAGTGATTTGAAGGTCCAAGCAATTTCAAACCAAGAGACAAGAAGGCCTCAAATTTAACATAGATGCTTACTGTCCCCAACTTTTTTGATAAATGTTGGTCTGTAAGTGCCGCGGATGGCTATTGCAGCATGTTTCTCAGTTATCAATACTTTTTTGGCGTAAGTCACAGCATGCAAAGGAAGTCTCGTCTGATAGCCCGAGGCTAGTGGACTTTGCTTTCAGGCTATCTTAACTTGCCTGATCAACAAGTGAAGTTTTTCGGAAATTCAAATTACAGAAAATTTGTAATCATTATCCTGCTCATCTAAAAAAATTTTCATGTTAGTTAAAATGGCTCTTTAGCTAGTACATTCTAGCTACAGCTTGTAAAACTGACTTCTTTTTCACCCTGTGTCACCTTTTTAGAAGTTATTGTTTGACACTGGACACAGGAGCCCCTTAATTTCTTTGCTGCCTACTTTTTTGGGCAATTCTAAGCATTTATTATTGTTTATGACAACTACAAGTATCAGCAGTTAAAGGCATAATTGAAAAAAGGAAACAGTATGCAAAAAAATAGAGTTCAGTTCCCAGTGGACCACTTTGCCCCTCTAACATGTCTACTATCCCTTTGTTTGCCCCTCTAACATGGCTACTGCAACAAAGTGAACAGACTCTGTAGGGTGACCTAGTTGAAGCTTACATTCATGTCCTTAAAATTCTTCATAGAGCCTTGTAGTCAGTTCCCAACAACTATAGTAACAAATTCTTTTGCTGGAATAATGACTCCTTCACTAACAACATCTGGAAATCAACCACCAATGAGCAAGTCGCCAAGCTATGGATCTTACCTAAGCCAACGCTTTGTTCCTCCAAGTCAAAACTCCCCGGGAAGGATGTCACGAAGCTGTGATGATGTAAGCCAGTTGTCGGTTAACAACAAATTTCCTTTTCAAGCAGAAAATGGTGCAATGTATGACTTTGATAACTTTCTTACAAGTCCATTGTCGCCCATGAAAATTGACTCTTGTGACACAGATGATAGCCCAGGTTTACTGTTTAACTCATCAAACTCCATACCCATCCCATCCTCGAATGGTATTGTTGGAAAGACAGACACTTTGAGCTGGCTCGACTTAAGCATGTCACCCACAGCTCAGCAGAATATTCCACATGCCAATGTTGAACTTACATCAATACATAACAACAATTATAAAGGGACTCCGCCATTAAATTTGTATGACGACCATGAACATACGCCATTGTCACTGTTTGACTTAGAAACACCTACTGCACTTCATCCTCCGAGTGACTTTGGTGAAGCGATGGATTACTGCATCTAGGTTGTATTGCATTAGTTTATGTATAATAATGAACATAATACCAGTATCACTATAAGTGATCATACATTATTTGTGTAAATAATAGTAAACAACTTGTTAATAATATTAAAATTATTAATTGTTAGAACAATCAGTAAAATTTATTTTATTGATTACTCTAACAGTCTTACTATAGAGTTATTAATAGATGTTAACATCTGTCTATTGTGGTATAATATTGTACAGAAAAAAAAAAACAGAAACAAGTTCCTGTAAGGACATTATAGGCATTAAGCAGGCAAGAGTCAGTCCTCCAATTTTTTTTTTTGTATCAGAAATCCTTGTGCATTTTGCAGACAGCAGACAAAATTACTCTCGGAATAGGCAGCATAAACCTAAACAACAAAATGGAATTTAATATTAGTTTTATTTCATGATATACTTGTGGCTAATCACCACACCAATATTTTCTATTTGTTTTGATGAATAAATTGTTGTTCCACGGCAGGGTATTGCCATTAATAAATAATATTGGTAAAGATGGTAGATTCTGGCAGGGTTTGTGATTTTCTGAAAACAATTTAATATTTCTAAACAGACTGACTTCACTGGCAGTGCCACCAATAACTTCCATGTAAATGGTGTATTAATCATTCACTCTGTCAGAATTATGCCAGCGTACTGACTTTAATTTTTCATTTTTTAAGAAAGTGTTGGCTATTGATGTTACAATGTGATCCTTTGTAGAAGAAGGTTAAGGCTTTGAAATCAGATCTATTAAAAAGTTTTTCGTTGCATAATCTTGTGTTGCTATGCTTTCTGCCACTTATAACTTAGCCTGTTTCAGACGTTCAGATAGTAGCCGGTGCCATGATCAGATGGTGGGGAGAGAGTCAAATCGTGCGTGGGGGAATGAGGAGGAAAAACAAGGGGAGAATAGCGCGAGAGCAAAGGAACTTTTCCCTTGCAAGAGGCTGGTAGCATAAGTCAACTAAAAAACAACGACAACAAAACCATTGGTCTTGGCTCGTGGGTGCTCTTGAACACTGTATTGTAGTGACCATCTGAATTTGGTGTACTTGGATTATCAAATCAGTTGAATGTCTTTAACTTTCTTGTTGTAACCTGCGATCATTACGAGGTGTTTTTTTTTTTGGGAAGTGCAATATTTGGCAGACCAGCCTTCCAAAGATAAAAGGAAGAAGGACCATCTGATTGCAGGTTACTCTTGTTGTGTTTCAGATTTATCCCTGTATGAGTCCAATCTATTTTTTGGTCTTTAAACATACAACAGTATTATAATGAGTTGAGAAGAAAAAAGAAAAATAATGGCAATGTATTCTTCGACCAATAATATATTCCACCATGCAAAATTTAACTTTGCCTCCTTCTGTACTGCATTTTAACAACACTAATTCTGTATATTTTATTGTTATGTGAATGAGTGGGGAAGGGGTCAAGGTCCTTGACCAGGAGATGGTGGACATTAAAAGAAAAATCAAGGAGGCCATCCATATCAACCATAAATAGAGACATGGGGGTTATGAACCTCCAGTGATTTTTAATCATTTGTTGTCATGTGACAACACTGAATGTTCATTGCTGATGAAGATATGTGTGATACAATCGAAAGCTACAACACCAAAAAATCTGAGAATTTTTCAAAAATCCTTAAGTACTGTGATGGATTCATTTATACAGAACAAAATAATCTTGATATCCATGATGTGTGAGGGCAGAGTTGTGCAACTTTTAAAGAAGTTAGAAAAATGTAACTCTCAAAAAGTACAGCTGCTGGGTTTTTTTTGTAGTCTCCTTGCCAAATCAAATGTTGCTATAACTTGGTGCATTTTGTATTGAAAATTGGCAAATAAATAATTTTGTTGATGACTTCCCCCTTAATGCACAACTCTGCCTTCAAAACACTGTGGATTTTGATGGGATCAATATGTGTCAAACATTTGTGGAAAACAATTCACAAAGCTGTCATCAAAACTATATCAAGTGGCAAAGGAAGCATGATCTACACTGTAATTCCTCAGACTCACATTTGTTGCTTGTGATTGGTGATTGCTTTTCATTCCTGCATCTATTTGAGTCATTGACTAGCTTGTTTTGAATGTGTGTGGCCTTGTTCAGTGCAAGGGTATTTTAGCTTGTGCACAGGGAGTCACAAATTGTGCGTCATAACTGGGCGTTCACCCAGTTTTGCCCAAACTATATGCCCAAACAAACCATTTATCCAATTTGTCTCCAGGCACAGCCAAGGGAATATGCTGTCCCTTATTCGGTCCCTGAGCTTAAACCTTTCGTTTTGAATGGGTGCACCATGACAAGGAAGTTATGTATGAATTATATTTTTTCAAGTGCTAAGTGTATCAGGTTTCTAGGAGTCTTTTATATTGAGCAAGTTAATAAGAAAACTCATTGGAGACTGTAACCTCATGAAATTTCAGCCATCTCCACCCCCTAACCTGTGGGAGGTGCCCCTTTGGGTTAGGGGGTAAAGACCACTGACATTTCAGACTATAGAGACTGGAGACAGCTGTTGAACCAAGAGGAAACGCCAACTACCCAGTTCCTCCTTTGGCTCATCAACAACACAGTACCCGAGGGAGTGGCAGAAAATTTGAGTCTAGTTCCCCATCAGCTTGCAATAATTTTGCTTACTCAGCCAGCCTACCTAAGCAACACTACAACTGATTTCCTTACTCCAGATTTCAAGTGACAGGGATGATTGAAGAATTTTTTTTGAGGTGTTAAATTTTCGATTCCAGGATTTTTTTGGGTAGGAAAATTTGGTGAGTATTTTCCTTGGGTGGCTTGACCAAACAATAGTCTGCAAAATTAATATAATTGGGGTGTAAAATCGGCATGGGATTTTTGGGGGGTTAACTTTTGGTGCAGGGATTTTTTTGGTGTTGTTGGAAGCCTTAGGGATTTATTTTTGGAAAAAACTAAGAAGGTACCAAGATTCCAAAAGAGATGAGACGTGTGACGTCAGGTTAGCATGGTGGCAAAATGTCTGGATCTCAACAATCTTTGTTGAGAGAGGCGGCGATTTGCATTGTCGAACGGTGGAAAAAAAGTATCTGTATGGGCTACCGTTTTGTTCCTAAGTGCAATTATGCAGACGAAAGTCATAAATGTCCAGTTTTCGCTTTAAATCTGCCATATTTGCAGGACCACGGGTTTTTGAGATCCAGACGTTCGATTTTGTTCGATTGCCCAACCCAATCGAACGATTGGAGTTCGATTGGGTTCGATTGGTTTTTTGTTCGGTTTTGTTCGATTGGATAGGTCGGGACTGAATGTGGGTAAAAAATGTGACACAGCTTGGGTGCGTACCAATTACATGGGAAAACCGAAAAATCTGGTTGAAAAACCAAATGGTTTGCGCCACACCGTTTGGGAAGCTTCAGAACCTATGGGCTGTGTTTTGATGCAAATGCAATTTTGCTTGTCAGTTCGTTCAGGTGATTTAGATATACTTTATTGCTGATCGTTCTCCAACCACATCATATTTTATAGTTTTATATTCATTGACAAAATTTCCACCTGCCTGGTTTTTGTAAATGGTGAGCACCCCTTGTTAAACTTTGGCCTGCTCTGGTCATGTTTTTAGGGTAGTTTTTGACGTTCTCTCTCCAGTGCTTTAGGATCCTTTAGGGGGGGTAAGCCAACTTGAGAAGGCCAAAGCGCATCTTGAGGAAAGCAATTCCGAACTAAAATCCGAGGTGCAGGAGCTAAGTAGCCGCAAGACAGAAGGTGAACGTAAATTGAAAGTTTTAGAGAATCAAATCGCGGAAGCAAACGCTCGGCTCACAGATGACGAGCATCAAGTAGCGGAGCTGTCCAGCGTCAAAGCCAAAATGCAGAAAGAGTTAGAGTCAGCCAATTCTCAACTGGAAGAAGTTGAGTCCAAATGTTCAGCTGCAGAGAGGGCAAAAGCTTCACTGGAGTCACAGCTGGCGGAAACACAGGTAATTCTAATCTTGCCTAAAATTCAGCGAGTTAGGTTAGTCAGACCCCTCCTGTAGTGTGCATTTAAGGTGTAACGACCGTATCTTTACTCGATGTTTTGTGGGGGGTTGAAGCGGAACCAATTTGTTATGCGCGGTTTAAGTCAGCTGTTGAAGTTAAAGATTCTGACCACATTGCACACTATTGTTTACATCACTTTGGAAGTAAATAGTTGTCCTAATGCTTCTCAGAAAAAATCTTTTGTCTTGTCACGTAACGCTTGTACCTAAGGAGCGTTACGTGACGAGACGAAAACGGAGACTATTCTTCAAAGATCACTGTAACACAATGAATCTCTCCTCACTTCTGGTATTTTTTATTTTTGTATTTTTTTTTCTAGGAATCTTTAACAGATGAAACTCACCAGAAACTTTCCCTGAGCAACAAACTCAAAGAAAGCGAGTCTGAAATAAGTCAACTGCAAGATCAACTCGATGATGAAGAAGATGCAAAGATAGCGCTGCACAAGAACCTCTCCGCCGCGCAAACGCAGGTGGGTGATTGCTTTTCCTATTTTGCTCTTTACTTTAACGCAGTTGGGTGGGTGGGTGGGTGGCATTTTACCACAGGTGGGTGACTGCATTTCGTATTTTGCTTGTTGCCTTAATGCAGGTGGGTGGGTGGGTGGCATTTTACCGCAAGTGGGTGATTTCTTTTCGTGTTTTGCTTTTTTGTTTTACACAACTGTTCTCCCGTTATGCTTCCTTCACGACAGCAAGATCTGTGGATCAGGAAAGAAAAAGAGTAAAGAGACTTAAATATGGGCTCCGAATAAAGTCGTTTATCCTCTCGATCACTTTCACATGACTTGTTTACCTGCTTGACTATGCGATTGACCTACTGCAGAGAGATTTCTACCTAAGTGAGGTGTGTGTGCGTTGCGAAGCGTATGTGGATGGATTTGGCCCTTTTAGCCATTTTGTCACCTTTACCTGTCTGGTTCCGCTGGAGCGCGGAAGGAAAAGTCGCGTC